GAATCAATAATTTTGTCGTTTTATTGTTATAAATTTAAAAAGAAAATAATTAATAATTTACTATGTAAATACAATAATATTTCACATAATCCGGCTTCGATTAGTGCGGATTTAATATAGTACTGTTTGAAAATTTCTAAAGTAACTAAATTTTAATTGAACGATATAAAAAATATCGTACAGAAAATTAATTGAAATAATTGTTATTTTTTCTCTTTTTGTATTGTTTATTTTTATAAACCGATTAGTACGGTTCCAAACAGTGATATTAGAAGAATTATTACTATGTGAGGTAAAGCTTTAAATAATAATTCACACAATGTTACAAAAAATAAAATGTTTTTACTTTGTTTATTTTTTTCTTTAGCTAAAAGATATCAAATTTCAAAAACAAAATTTTATCTAATTTTTCACATAATTCAACAAAATTAATCAAAAATAAATTATTTCTATACGTTATTATTAAATTTGAAAACGTTAGAGGAAAATACAAAAAGAACAAATGTATTCTCCAAATTTTTAATTTTATCAATTTGAAACAACAACTATCATAATTGTTACAGATTTAGATAGAAAATAATGTTTTATTATTTAAAAAAAATTAAAGATTAATTGAACAAAATTTAAAAAAAAACAAAAAATTGAAATAATTGTAATTTTTTCTGATACTGTCAAGTCTTTTTTTGTATTGTTTTTTTTTTTATAAATCCTGGATTAGTATTGTTTCAAATAGTGATATTAGCGGAATTAGCACTATGTGAAATAATGCTAGCTAAATATGCACGTTTATGGAATATTCGAACTTGTATTGTTTATTATTATATGTCCTCGATTAGTGCGGTTTCAAACAGTAAAATTATCGAAAACCCGCATTATATGAAGTAATGCTTTAAACTCAAATTTATATAATTTTTATATAACAATTCGCATAATATTATAAAAAAAATATTTTCTTAATGTTTATTTTTATAAGTCTTCGGTTAGTGCGGCTTTAAACATTGATATTAACAAAACCCGCACTATGTGAAGTGATGCTTTAAAGTCAAATTTGTATACAAATATTTCTACGTTGTATATTTTATTAATGTTAGCTAATATTGCGTAAACATGCTTCAAACTTGTTGTTTTATTTTAATGAAATCAATTAATTACCTATCATCACAGTTATAATAAAATTCCCATTGAGAAAGACATTAAAAAGAAAACGTACACAAACAACGTTCAGATTCCGAAACCTTGTGATAAATGGATTCCATTCAAATTAGATTATAATTAGGAACCGTTCCAATTTATCAACAAACAAAAAACAACATGCTTTTATTTTTATTATTTATTACTATATTCAAGTAATTGATTAATTGATCAAATAGTTGAATAAAAAAAAATCGTAAATTGAAAACCGATTGGAATGCCGGTGGCGCCACCGTTCGAGGGCGGAAACGAACTTTAGGGTTCGAGCGGTTCGGCGTCGAGGGCGCTGCGGCGTCGTCGCGCCGAACATTCGAACAAAACAAAAAAAAACGACGGGGCGTCGCGACGCCTACTAGGCCCTTTTCTTTCGCGCGCCAAACCTACCCCTCCTACAAAACCACCCCGCGCGCCCGTAAATTATGGCCGAACCATAATTCATACAATTGCCGGAGACCCAGTCGGAAATACGTTTGTTTTCGTCCCTTTCATATAATATTTTTTTGCCCTTCCTTTTATTCTCCCGATCCTCCTCTTTTTTTTCCTTCTTTTCCACCCCAATTATTTTCTCTCTCTCAGTGTATATGCGCGTCGTGGGGTGCAGAAACTAAAAATCCACAGAGAAAACAATAACACTAAATATTTTGCGGCTAGTTCCTTTCATTTTTTTTCCATCTTCTCGTTCTCCCTGTGTTGTAATTTTTTTTTGTACTTCTTTCTTTTCGTCCTCCTTTTGTTTGTCGTGTCGTAAATCATAAGCGAAGCGTGTTATTAAAAACATTGCGCATTTTTCTCTTTGCCCCTATCGCGTCGGAAAATTTTTGCCATTTGCTACTTCTACCTTGTAATTACAACCTGCACCGATAATCTAAACATTTTACAATTATCCCATAACAAAACTAAATTCATTAAACCAAAATTGAAGCACATTAATCAAAGAGAAATTGCTTACATTTATAAGGGTAGAAAACAATATTATTTATTTAATTTTCCACTAAAATTCCAGTTAAAAACACAATTTGTAAACTTTTGCATAATTTGTAATAAAAATGAAAGGTTTTTACTACAATTTTGCTAGTTTAAAGTTTTTCGGAAAAGCAAATAACTTATTAATTTTAAAAAATATTTATTTCATTATAATTGTAAAATCTTAAGTAAATAAACTTTTTTCTTCTAAAAAAAGTTCATTGTCCAAAATTTATGTCAATTTTCATCAATTAATTTAATAAAAATTAAATAATTTAGCTTAAAAACAAATATAAAATCACTTTAAAACTTGTCTGGATTACGGCTTTAAAGTAGAGGAAATTTCGTAAAAATTTTGATCAATTTTAATTCTCAAATAATAAATTAAATCAAACTACCAACTTCCTCCATTTAACCTTTAAAAAATATAAGAAATTCAATAACAAGTTGAGCAATAATTAATGCAAGACTATATAATTTATTTATTTTTATTTCACTGGGTCAGAATTGAATATTTGATTAAAAATGCTTGTTGTGAATCTGATTAAATTTAATAATAGCGAAGAGGGTGAAGTTCAATGCAATCTGCAATAAGGGGAGAAAAACCCTGTAAATCATCCAGTTTAGAAACGTTCTTAATTGTCCGAGGGTTAAGTGATACAATGACTAATAATAATTGTGAACCATTGATAAAAAAAATGCATACAATGAATGCAAATTAATTTAATTAACGTAACAAGTAAATCTTGTTTTTTTGTTATGTTTTGTAAAGTAGCGTTAATTAAAAATAATCTTTAAAAAAATCTAAATTTTTGATAAATATTGAAAATTGTCATAAGTAAATATGTTTAATTAAACAAAATGTAATAAAAAGTTCTTAATTACATAATAAAATGTGTATTTATAGGTAAATCTATAGCATCTCTTGTGTAAATAATCTAATATAATTTCCGGAATGTCTATTTATTTTCACTGAGGTATAAATACAATTGCCAATGCGGATGATATAAATCATCGAGCAGCGATGGAGAAAAAAAGATCTAATTGGAATTGGGTTACACGTTGCATACGGTGGGTGGATCATCTCTGGTGGTCCGAAAACACCCATTGGTAGAAGCGCCTCGAGGATCCTTGGGTATCCGTTTAATAATGGAATGTACGAAGGTTAACGCGAAGAAATTGAATGCATTGTTTTGGATCAACGGTGAATACAAATAAAATCAATAAATCAATGAAAGGAAACAAACACGTTTCAGCTTTCAATTGATATAATTCTATATCATTTTTTGTTCAGTTGTTGTATTGTATTTGTTACTTGTTTTAAAGTGTTAAAATTTTGTATTTTTTTAGTATAAACTTGTTTTTTTTGAGATAATTCATTAAGATTTGTAATATTTATAAAGAGATTAAGTAATTAAAATTTGAAAGACTTTTGTTGAAAAATTTCTAAGAAAAAATACATCAAAAATATGATCAGAATTTGATTCATGAATAATTCTTAAAAATAATAGTAAGTAAGTTATCAAGTTGGGATATTTAGAGATATATTAGATATGTATTATATTTTAGAAATGTAGAAGAATTTGTACCAAAATTGTATCAAAAACATCGTAGTTTTTATATAATATTCTATTATATTTGATGGACTTATTACTTGTTAAAATGTTGTATTTTTTTACTATAGACTTGTTTTTCTTTGAGATAATTCATTGATATTTGTAATAATTATAAAGAGATTAAGTAAATAATGTTTAAAAGACAATTGTTGAAGAATTTCTCAGAAAAAAATACACAACAAATAATATTATAATTTAGTTCATGAATAATTCTTATAAGTAAGAGTAAGTAAGTTATGAAGTTGAGATATTTAGAGCTGTATTTGATATGTATTTAATTTTAGAAATGATGCCCTTAGAGTCTGGATCAAAGATATTTGTAGAAGAATTTGTAATAAATTTATACCAAAAACATCTACATTTATCGTTAAAACTTCAAAAGAATAGTAAATAAGTAAGTTATGAAGCTGTATTTTTTTTGTTTTTTTAGAAATGATGACATTGAATGCATTTACTTAATTGGTGCCCTACAACGGTCGAACACTGTTGCTCAACTAGACCGACTTTGAGTTCGTGAGCTGCGGCCAATTGGACTCCATCGCCAATACGGCTAGTGAGGAAATTACATAATGATTGCTTGTGGTAATTGGATGGAATTGTAGGCACCGTTCAGTGGGTCGAGCGGCTCAATTGGACTGAGCATGGAGAGGAATATAGGCGAAGCGCCCCGAGGAACGTTCGTTTCCGTCGCTACAATCCACGAAAGAGATGCAGACAGGAAGTCGGAATATTTCAAAATATCCAAAACATAATTGTATAGATACAAAACCCAAAAAAAAAACACTTCAAATTATAGATAAAATCATTTTTTTTAATCATACCCACAAAAAAAACATTGATTTCTCCTAAGAAACAACAAAAATCATGTTTACTTAATCAATTTAATCAACTTAGATTAAATTATTAATTGATCTTTTTATTGGATGTAATACCAATAAAATTGATTTAATTAACATGATTAATTTTTTATTCAAATTTGATTGGAATTCGTTGAAATTATCTATAATTAGATTAATATTCATTGAATGAAAATTGTAAATTTTTACGTAAACGGGGTTAAGATTACGATGAGTTTTACAAATTCGGTATTAATCTAATTGAGCAAACAGATAAAAACGATAATACAATGTGGGCTATCGCACCGAATTACCGTCGAGTGGATCGCGTAAACCTATATAAACAGGTATTGGAGCGAATTCCAGTAGGTTAGTTTACTAAACTGAAAAAACAATGAAGTTGCTTATCCTGTGCGGTTTAATCGCCTTGGCCTTTGGTAAGGATTTCTGTGTAATTTGTTGAAATAATTAATTAACTAAATCGATTTTTGTGTTTAGGTCGTCAGGGTTTTGGACCCGGAGAACAGGAATGGGGTTACGTGACTGTTCGTGAAGATGCTCACATGTTCTGGTGGTTGTACTTGACCACCGCTGAGGTTAAGACTTACGAAGAGAAACCTTTGATCATCTGGTTGCAAGGTGGTCCAGGTGCTTCCTCCACCGGATACGGAAACTTCGCTGAATTGGGACCTTTGGATCTGGATAGGAAGCCTAGGGATTTCACCTGGGTGAAGGATGCCAACGTTTTGTTCATCGATAACCCAGTTGGTACCGGATACAGTTATGTTGATAGCGCCGCTGCTTATACCAGGGATAACAAGCAAATCGCTGAAGATTTGGTTGCTCTGATGAAGGGATTCTATGAAAAGATGCCCAGCTTCAAGACTGTTCCTCTTTACATCACCGCTGAAAGCTATGGAGGAAAGATGGCCGCTGAATTTGGTTTAGTCTTGGACAAGGCTATCAAAGACGGAGAAATCGAATGCAACTTAAAGGGTGTTGGCTTGGGAGATTCTTGGGTATCTCCAATTGATTCAGTCCTCACTTGGGCCCCATACTTGCTTCATTTCGTAAGTTAAACTATTCATTAATATCATTGTTAAACTTCATTAAAACTATAGCTAAACTTCATTAACTTTGAGTACGACTTATATGTTAATATTAGCATTAGGACTACTTTAGAATCAAATGTTGTCTATACATAATTAATGTTTTATTCAATTCCGGTGATTACTTTAATCGGAAGAATGAACGTAATTTGGTTGTAATGATGGTTTTTGTAGGGAGCTGTTGATCAAGCTGGTTATGACAAGATCGAAAGCGCCGCTCTGGAAACCAAGAGGCTTCTGGAAGCCGGACGTTTCGTCGATGCTACCGACATGTGGAGGGAAACTGAATACGTCGTAATGGATGTCACCCACGATGTTGACTTCTACAACGTTTTGAAGAAGATCGGAAACGGATACAGCAAACGTAATTGAATATCATATTAAAGAAGATCATCTTAGTGAAGATCATCTCAATGAAGATTATCTTTTTGAAGATCATCTAATTGAATAGTAATAACTAATGATTGAATTTTCAGATTCTGGTAAGATCATTGCCAAGCCATCAGCCAGGGATTTGGATGATGTGAAATTGGACATTTTGATGAACGGAGATGTAAAGAAGGCTTTGGATTTGAACGTGCGTTGGGGCGCACAGAGCGGAGCAGTCTTCAGCTACTTGAGCGGAGACTTCATGAAGGCCAACACCGAAGTCGGTGAGTTGGTTGTATAACAAGACAAAGACTATTGATAATAATTAATGGTTATTTCCAGTTGAACAATTGCTCAATTCGACCGACATCAAAGTGTTCGTCTTCTCCGGCCAATTGGACTTAATTGTCGATACTCCCGGTAATTTCAACCTAATGAAAGCTTTGAACAATTAATGGACGTTTTTTTGTTAAAAACAGGCACAGTTCTGTGGGTAGACCGTCTCAACTGGGCGGGAAAGAAGCAATGGGAGACGGCCAAGAGGAACGTCATTTCCGTTGAAGGAATCAACGAAGGTTACCGCAAGGAAGTCGGAAATTTGGGATTATACTGGGTCAACAGAGCAGGTCACATGGTAAAAAAAACAAAATGATTATAGCATAACTTTGTATACTATTAAATTAATTTAAATTCAGGTTCCGGCCGATAATCCGAAAGCCATGGACTTCATCTTGAGGAAACTGACCAACGATTACGCAGCGTAATCCTGTTCTCAAAGATGTCTACAATTTGATACACTTGAACGGAAATCGGAGAGATGTGCTTATCTCTAGCTCTCTCACTTCATTGCAATTAAACTATTTATAGATTCGATAACGCTCAAAAAAACAATGACTTTACTATTTAATTATTAATTATATTTTATTATATTTATATGTATTAATAATCCGTGTTCAAGTGTTGTTTATCCCAATCAATTACAAATCTGTTCTGAGATTTATTTTATCACAATAAATGATGATGTATAAACGAAAATAACAATTATTTTATTGCCAACTTGTTATGTAAACCCCACTTCCTATTCTGCAGAAGGCGGATCACCCTCAAGGCCTCTCATGATGGCGTTTGACAAGGACTAATGACTTTTTCTTAAAATGGCGTTTCTCTTCTACAAACACTTATTTCTTTCATTTTGTCCTTCCACCAAACATAATTCACATAATTTATACATGAACTTTCAACTTTATTCCTTCGCAATTCATTAACAAACCGTTAAAATCCTTCATCCAACATTAATCAACTTTTTTTTAAAGAACTTTTTATTAAAAAAAATACAACCTTAGTAATATTAATATTTACAAAATAGTATACCTCGCATAGTGCGGTTTCAATCAGTCCGGATTCGCAAACATTCTAAATTTTATTTTACGAGAAATTATGTTTTTATACAAAAAAAATCGTTTCTTTTTGTGCGATTGTAAAACGAACTAATCGAGCGTTTTTAAACAATATTGGTCCGTATTTACTATAGTGCGGTTTGTAACTTTTAAAATAAACCAAATTTTAAAAAATCAGTACACAAAATTATTTTTTTATGTGAAAAAAATGTCCCATTATAAAGTCATGTCTCTTTTTGTGCTGTTTCTTCTTATGCAATTTTAAAGTCCTCAATTAGTCCGGTTTTAAAGAATATTGGCGCACTATTTGAATGACTACTGTATTTACATTGTTATATCTTTATCCTATATCCAAGATTCGTATTTTTTTCGTATAAAACAATTTAAAAAAATGATCTTGTAACCTTCACAAGTTGTTTTTAGTTATTTATGTACATTACAAAGTACATTTTGTATAAAGAAAATAACAACATTTGCAAATTTAATTAGTAAATAAAAAAATATAATGTATTTTAATTGGATTGCTACTATTAATAATTGATAAATTCTATAAATTGATTCCAATTAATGATGTAAACATATAATTACAAGTACTCAATTAACTGCAATAAAATTAACTGTACTTTTAAAGCAAATATTTCTAAATAAAAAAAACATAAATTTACAATTTTTATGATAATTTTTAATGTGAATGATAGAAAATATATAAAATTATTAACTTAAATAATTGTAAATATAATAATTTGAAAATTTTCATGTTTTCTAGAAGATTTTTTTCAAAAAATTGTTTCAATTTATTTTTATAACAAATTTTGTTATTAAATCATCTTGAGACAGTTTGTATAAGCTTGAATTCAAAAATTATTAAAGAAATTTATTTGAAAAATAAATAATCTGATTTAAATTATGAAAAGTATGAATTGACTATAAAATCGAAAAAAATAAATGTTATTGTTGCTAAAATTTCAATTGAATGAAGTTGTTAAAAATATGTTTGTTTAGACACTTTTTATGTACGTTTTTTTTTTATTAATCACGATAAATGTGGGACAGATCAAGATATTTTATAAATTCAAGTTATCGATGTTATCAAAAGTATAAAAATCGTTATATAATGTCATCAAATACAGATTTCATAATAAAATAATACAAAAATCAATATAAATTTTATCAACGGTTCAAAAATAATTAAAAATTTAAGTAATTTTCTATGGTTATTTATTTTTTACAAGTGATAAATTGTAAAAGTGAAAACATTTAGTATTATTTATGTTTTTTTAACTTTAATAAACTTAAGAAAAGTATAGAAAAAAGTTTTTTTTTTATAATATTTTGTATGTTAATTAATAAAAGTTTATATAAATTCTTAATAATAGAGAAAATGCCATAAATTGGATTTATTTAAATGTACGATTTGTTCTTGATTATAATTGTAAGATTATATTTTTACAATTTACTGACGTTTTATAAATATTTTTTTATAAAAGTTTATAAATAATCATGATTCAATGAATTGTATCATTATAAATGTATGATTCAAACATAGATTGTTATTGATATTATATTATTTAGAAATTTCCTAGGAAAACAGTTACAAATCTGTAACTGAATACAAAATAAACGATTGTTTCGATTCGGATCAATGGAGATGCCACCACTCAAATTCCCACAAAACTGATCGATAATGCTGTGTCAATGTATAAATAACAAATGTTGAAGTG